CAAGGCAAGGCAAAACAAGGAAACACGGGCAGGATAACAGAAACTAGGAATAATAACCGGCTAAGCAATACTCGGCAGAGAATGGTTGTTTGAGTGAGTGTTATATAGTGAGTGAGTGATATGAAACAGCTGTGTGCAATCAGTGCTGTGTGCAATCAGTGAAACAGCTGAGTGCAATCAGTGCTGTGTGCAATCAGTGCAATGAATGATGGGATATGTAGTCCGGGGTGATATGCAACAGTGTGTAGTGCGAGAGTCAATGAAAATGGAAAGGGTGACCTCTGATGGCTAGCAGACGGAAGTTCATGGACCGGATTCGTGACAATTATAGTCTATAGTATTATAAGTCTATAGTTAAACTAAATGAGAAATGTTGCCTTGGTAACTAGCTGAAATAAAGTTATTTATGCTTAATTTATTTATTAATTTTATATTTTATTTTAAATGACTTTTCTTTTTCGGCTGATCCCACAAGTCCTCCATTCTGTTATGTAATCCCTACTGTTTTTTCTCATTGAATACTTTGTTTCTGTTTCAGAAACTTTAGTAGGGTCAACAGAATAAGTAAAAAGGGTAAATTTTGATTTTATGTTGGCAAAAACTGTTCTCACCTTTCACTTGCTGTCTGGAGTGGGAAAACTGATATTTTTCCTTGTTTTTCCTCAGTTTATTTTTTGAAAAAACATTTGTTAGCCTCTCTCCTCTTTCTGTGCTGTCTCTTTCATTTCACTCAGTAGTGCAGTGTATTTGACACTTGAAGACGTAAATAGATCCTCACCTCTCATCCAGACCCCAGTTGGCCTCCGTCAATCGATGCTAAAGACCAATCCAGGCGTTCCTGGACAGTAGGACTTGACAAGTCCGGCAGACAGCCGTGTTTCTCCGCTGTCTGTTTGTTTGCTCTGTTCTCATCTCCTCTTTGTTCCTCCATTGACTCTTGCCGTGTGGATTGAGTGACTACAGAGGCTTGCCGAGATAAATTAGCATAATTTTCCTACAGAATCTCAGAGAAAAAGAAAGTACGTCTTTTGCATCGTTGCATGAGGCGTCTCACCCATCGCTAAGCCTGATGGATCAAGCAGAATCACAACAGCGTTACTTTATCCAAAAGCTTTACTCAACTGTGTGAATCCATTGCATGGGCAGCATGTTTGAGGTTAAACTGAGTGGGATTGATAGTCAAGGGGTTTTTACAGAGATCTAACGGACCTCACAGCGTTAGAGGAGCTCTGAGAGATGTTGCTAGATTAGCTTGGGAGTTGAGAACTGGATATTAATTAATATGTATACATTCAGTTCATTATATTCCGAGTAATTTTCATATATAACTGTGAAATTACAATTTTCAAATGTAATTTTCATATAGACGCACATTGGTGTCTTGATAAACTGGAGTTTATTTTGCAACAACAAACAACTAGATGTACATATATAATGTCATTAAAATCGTCATATATAATGTCGTTAATTGTTTTTTTAAATTCTAAAAACCATTTTAGAATTATTATGTTTATATATATATATATATATATATATATATATACTACTGTTCAAATGTTTGGGATAGTATTTTTTATAGAGGTCTCTTATGCTCATTAAGAATGCATTTATTTGATCAAAAATACAGTAAGAACAGTAGTATTTTGAAATATTAATATAAATATTAATATACTTAAAAATAGAATTTATTCCTGTGGTGGCAATGCTGAATTTTCATCAGCCATTATGGCAGTCTACAGATCCTTCAGAAATCATTCTTATATGCAGATTTTTTTACCAATGTTGGAAAATACTTAGTATTTTTTATTATTATTATAATTTTTTTTTGAATCTGTGATACTTTTTTTAAGGATTCTTACACTGAACAAAATTATAAACGCAACACTTTTGTTTTTGCCCCCATTTTCATGAGCTGAACTTAAAGATCTAAGACTTTTTCTATGTACATAAAAGGCCTATTTCTCTCAAATATTGTTCACTAATCTGTCTAAATCTGTGTTAGTGAGCACTTCTCCTTTGCCGAGATAATCCATCCACCTCACCGGTGTGGCATATCAAGATGCTGATTAGACAGCATGATTATTGCACAGGTGTGCCTTAGGCTCACATTTTAGAGTGGCCTTTTATTGTGGCCATGCAGCCTAAGGCACACCTGTGCAATAATCATGTTGTCTAATCAGCATCTTGATATGCCTCACCTGTGAGGTGGATGGATTATCTTGGCAAAGGAGAAGTGCTCACTAACACATATTTAGACAGATTTGTGAACAATATTTGAGAGAAATAGGCCTTTTGTGTACATAGAAAAAGTCTTAGATCTTTGAGTTCAGCTCATGAAAAATGGGGGCAAAAACAAAAGTGTTGCGTTTATAATTTTGTTCAGTATAGATGAATAAAAAAGATAAAGAGTACAACATTAATTCAAAATAGAAAACCGTTGTAGCAATATACACTACTGTTTAAAGGTTAGGAGTCAGTACTTTTTATTTATTTATTTATTTTAAAGAAATTAATACTTTTATTCAGCAAGGATATGTTAAAGTGATAAAAAGTGAAACAGACTTATTGTTACAAAAGATTTCTTTTTTGAAAAAATGCTGGTCTTTTTAACTTTTTATTTATATTTATTACATATTTGATATATTCCATATATTACATTCCAAATAGGAATGTAATGTTGCAATTCTTATTGAACATTTCTAGTTCTGTATGTCTTACATAAAGACATACATGAAGACAATGCAATGTTGTAACATCTATGTGCAACCTCTTTTCAATATATAAAGCACTTAGAGCAACCACTCAAAAAAAAAAAGTATAAGTATGTCTTTTAGTGTCAGTAAGTCTTTTTTTTTTTTTTGATGTCTTCTCATTGATCAACATCCACATATGCTTAATGTACAGTGACGGTTATGTGGCCAGCAGGCTGGACGTGGGCTGCTGAGAGAAGATTCAAAGGATTTTACACATGGGATTGCTTTTGCCACTCGTTACATTTTCATGCCACTTTTATAGAAGATAAAAGACACCGTAATCTTTAACGGCACGGGAACGCACAGTCCATTTAAAGTCTGGAAGATTACTGCCATGGCCAAATCAGATGTGACTGAAAAAAAAAAACTCTGATGAATATTATTATCATTACCCTACCATCGTGCATATAAAATTAGTCCAGTCTGCGTAGGTCTTTTTCAAATGCTTTTTAAACCCTTCACTTTGTGGAACTAATACCATTTGGTTAAAATATTGGCAATTCATGCAAAGAAAATATGTGTGTGTTTTTTTGTATGTGAAATGTGTTTTCATACATTCATAAACTCTGCCAATGATATAGCCGTAGCTCCGGCTTTATGCTCCTCTGGTGTATGTTTGATTGCTTTACATCTATGACACGGTTTCAAATGGCAGTTAAGGCCA